GAACGGGCCGTTCTGGAGGGAGAACGGGCCGTTCCAAATTCCAGAACAGGCTGTTCCAAATTCCAGAACGGGCTGTTCTAGATGGAGAACGGGCCGTTCCGGAAGGAGAACGGGCCATTCCGAATGAGTCCCGGAACGGGCCGTTCTGGGCGTGGATTTTGTGCGTGATTTGGGAGTTTGAAACGGGCCGTTTCGAACTCGGTACGGGCCGTTCTGGGCCAATCCGAAAGTCTATAAATAGGGGTTGGGGGCCTTCAGGAAATTGTGAGTTTTTAGAGAGAAGTTTTAGAGAGAAGGTCTCTGGGTCAGTGAGCTCCTTTCTCTCCCAAATTTCTCTGTTTGACTCCTTTTCTCCTTTAGATCACTAATCCCTTCTGACTTTTCTTGAAATTCAAATTAGAAAGCTTGTTTTGGGAGGATTGAAGTTCCGGGTTGAGCTTTGGAAGGGAATTCTATTCCGTCTTAGTTGTTGGCTATTTTGAGTCAATCTTCAGGTAAGGGAAGCTAGAATGTTTGTTATTTAAGTTGCATTGAGTTTAGAAACTCAATTGATGCATGAAAGTTGAGGATCCATGGCTGGATCGGAGAATTCGCTAATTGTTCGAGGTCTTGGGAAAAAAAGGGGCTTTTGGTGAATTTGATGCATTAGATGGGTGCATGTTGATTTTGAGTTTGTTTTATGTTGTATGGAGCCATTGTGTTTTTGTGTTTGCATATGGCTAGATTTGTTAGTTTGGATGAGAGTTTGAACTCTCTAACTGGGATTAGGCTAGGCGCAGGTTGAGCGCGCCAGGCGTGGGAGAGCTTAGGGCTCTCAGGTTAGATGTTGGGTCAGACGTGATTTGGTTGTGTCAAGCATGGATACTCTTAGGAGTCTATGTTTTAAGGACACCGAGCGTGAGTTGAACGCGCTAGGTGTGGATGAGTCTTAGGACTCTCAGGTTGGGAGTAGGCTGGGCGAGCTCAGGTTACGCCAGGCGTGAATATATTTATGAATGAATTGATGCTTATGCATGTTTAAAGTTGAAGTTTTAGATCATGTATGTATGATATATGATGTATGGTGAGGTGTGATTCATATGTATGCTTTGTGATGATACGTATGAATGTTTGAATATGATATGACATGTGTATATGTTCATATGTGTATGTTTATTGATCATAATGGTAGGTAGACCATTTATGATGTATGATGCATTATTGCATGTGATGTCTTATGACATGTGTATGGTTGTTGATCATGATGGTGGGTAGACCATTATGATGTATGATGCATGATTGCATGTGATGCCTATGGCATGAGTCTAGCCTAGGACTTGAGGAGAGGAAAAATATTTTCGAACTAGAAGAGCTCACATAGAGTCTCTTGAGAGTGGTGCTTGGATAGGCCACTGATATATGAGAGTGGTGCTCTGGGAGGCCACTGGATTTGGGAGAGTGGTGCTCAGATAGGCCACTGGGTTGGGTGAGTCTCCTCTAAGTCCTTAGCTAGTGTTGGAGCGGGGTATGAGGTCGAGGGTTATTCCCTTAACCAAGTACTCGGGAAGGTGCGTGGATCCTTGCGGATAGTCGGTGGGCGAACTCCACAATTGACTTGGTTAATGCATGCCAAGGTCGTGGTAAGCCCGTACCCAGCTGTGTTATACCTGACGGTGGATCTGGACTTCCAAGTGTGTAAGTGACATCATCCGAGTAAACCCGAGGGAGGATTATATATCCTGTTTAGCTGTGACCGAGCGGGCGCATTGGGCGTGAAAACGGTTGGGGTGGTTTCGGTAGGATGGAATGTCACTTATACAGCTCTATTGTTATGAAGATCTTCTAGGTGTATGCGTGACGACGCATTAGATGATTGATATGCATTGATATCTGTCATGAGATGCATTTATTGCATGATTATTAATATGATGAAGTGTGGTGTTTGACTTCATGATTGGTGGATTGTACTTTATGCATGAGTAGTATTGGATAGAGTGTATGGTGTGACTCTATGAACGTGATTGTCAATAGGATGATTGTGTAGTATAGATTATTGTTCTATATTTGTATGATTGATTTGTGAATTCTAGCTTACCCTTCTATTTTCCATGTGGTGGAACTGCGATGATCATACTTGGTATGAAAGCAAGTCAGGGCTAGCTTGGAGTTGAGGTGTCCGCTGCGGGGAGCTTTGATCCTCGTGTTAGGGTTACCATTTTAGGTAACGGTTTTGTCTGTGCTTGACCGACATTAGGAAATATTATTTTTGAGATGACTATACATATATGACGTTTTATTTTGTATTTAAGAAATTTAGTTATTTCATCTTTAGTTGTACATGTATGTATGAGTTATCCAACTTAATATTTCTCTTAGTTTTACTAGTTGTAATGCGATTCCACAAAGTGTAGGGACCATGGCGGGTCGTTACACTTTCTAAAATAGTAAATTTAGTGATTCTGAAAATACTTTTCAAAATACTAAATTTATTATTCTAGAAAGTATTTTTTTAGGGGAGTAGAAAGTACTTTTAAGAAGTATATAAAAAATACAAATATGAAAAATATTTTTTGAAACACTGATTTCACTATCTCGAAAAATTAATGTTCTAGAATATCCTTTTCATAACACTAAATTTAATGTTAAAATTTTTCGAAGTATGAAAAGAGAGAAAGTGTTAGAAGAAAAAAATGTATATTTAATTTGACAGAAACTAGTTTTAGTGTCTGAGTGTATGTGAAAAAGTGAAAGAGGTGAGATGAGAAGAAAGTAATGTAAAAACTAATAGAATTAAAATTATTTATTGAAATATGTGGAAGATTGAAGAATGATAATATGATATATGTGAAAATTGAAAGAAAGAAGAAAAGAAGTGTATAAAAAAGAAGAAGAAAATAATAAATTAAAAATTAATAGTCTAAAATTAAAGAATAAAAAAGTTAAAAACATTTTAAAAAAAATAAAAGAGGTATATTATATAAAAAAAAAGTGTATACATTATGATCCTCGATTTAAATGTTGAAATTTTTTTTGAAGTTGATCTAATTTATTATGGATTGGTGAATTAAATAGATGCATCCTCACTTCTCTAATTTTTTTTTTTTTTAAATATCTTGGATTGTTGGTATAAATAGAGAGCATTGGGAATTTGGAAAGGAAAGAAAGTTGAAAATGGCGGGCAGTGGTGCATTGGCATTGATGAAGCAGTCGGAGTCGGCGAGAGAGGAGTGGGAGATCTGCTTCGGGCGGTTCATCCCGTATCCGAGTCTGTGTTCGGATCTGCTCCCTCTCCCTCCTCGGGTCCGCAACCTCCCTCCCCGCGGCAACTGGATCTCCTCCTCCTCCGTGGCCTTCCTCCGCCTCTCCCACCTCCTCCTCACCGTCTCCTTCAACGCCACACTCCTCGTCAGTCTCTCTCTCTCTCTCTCTCTCCTTTCTTCTCCCCTTATTTCTTTACCCACACTCTCAACTCCCTCTCTGCCAGGAAGAGCACCACGTCTCCAAGCTGCATTTCACCTGGCCTCAGGTCTCCTGCGTCTCCGGTTACCCTGCCAGGGGCATCAGAACTGTGCTTGTTAGCTACAGAGATTCCCATGGCCAGGCAAGATTCTTCACCATTGCATACCACTCCTTTCATACTCTTCGCCTCTGCATTCTCATTTATATAAATAAATATAACATTCATAACCAAGTCCAGACTTGAGTCACCTTAAGAGAGGTTAGGCTTCCAGTTTTCTGGATGGATAAAATGCGGTTCGCAGAATAGATTTCACTAAAAATGGTTAGTAAGACTTTTCGATCGTTGAGATTTTATTAAAAGGGCTTAGTAAGGATTTTTTTTTTGTCAGAGATTAATAAAATTGATTTATACTTTGTACCAATAATGACTGTGTTTGGTAAAAAACTAGTTATAAGTTGGTTGAAAGCATATAAACTAGGAGTTGAAAACTTGAAGCTTATGAATGGAAAATGACATGAAATGATTTTTTATTATAAGAGTGGGAGAGTGATATGATAGATAAAATGATTTTTAAATTAAAAAGGGTAAAAAAGGAATTGAACTAAATTAATAAGGAGAAAGAAAAATAAAATTAAGAGCTTATAAAATGCCTAGTTAAACACACTAAACGTGGTTATCAAATATATAAATATATGTAACGAACTGGAAATAATATGTATATTAGATTCGTGCTCTTCGGATTGTAACTTTACACTGTGTGTGACACTATTTTATGGAGCTTTTCTTGGCTATGGAATAGATCGGTAGATAGTTGATGCAAGGTTGACACTGCTAACTTTCCGTTCTGGCAGATTCAAAAGTTTGCTATGCGGTTTCCATCAATCTATGAAGCAGAGTCATTTATGGATGTTTTGAAGGTGATGGTTGGAGGCTTGTCATAATATAGTGATCACCGTTCACAAAAAAAAGTACTATTCAATGATTTTGTTACTTCGCAGGAGATTCTGAAAGATGACATGGACCCAGAACCTTTGAATACTGACTTTGGTTCTGAAATTTCGTCCCAGTCAGAATTCATGTCATCAAACAAGCACTCGCACAGGTGCAAACTGTAAAGGAGTTTTGTATGATTGGAGGAATGGGAAGATATGACTGAATTCTCAGGCTTTGATAGATTGTCAATAACCTTTCCTTGATCTGTTTTCTGTTTTCTGTTTTCCGACATTTATCCAGAGTAGATATATGTTTCTCATTACTTATGTTGAAGTATTAGTTGACTTAATTATATAATTGTGATGGAGACTGGACAGTGTATAATGAGACTTGCTGTATTTGTAGAGCTTGTGAGGAACTGAGCTTTATGACTCCGGTTGACAATTACATTCCACAACTTCCACTATGTGTGAATAATGTGGGGGAGCAACCTTCGGGATCCCAAGAAAAGGGAACAACACCTGGTCACAACTTTGAAGGCTTGCTCCCAGCCTTGCCACCCAGTTTTGCTGCACTACTGATGGATTGCTCTGAGAACAACCATGGTTGGTTAGTTTTTTCATTTTAACCTAATATTTCTTGACTTCATGTGATTTCTACTCATAGCCTATTTCATTTGAATAAAATCATGTGTTGCAGCTCAACCAACTGTTTCCGAGGAAATTGAACTCAAATCCCAAATTGTGGTACTTAATTTTGAATTTTTGCTAACAAGTTACATGTTATTTGTCAAGTGCATCTTTTCTATTGATCATTTGTTGTTCTATGATATATATTTCTCTTTGATGCAGAGGTACATGGAAGATTCTTCCTTCCAAGGTAGCAATCCCTCTTCCTTATTTATTGCTTATCATTGGTTAAATGTGATGTAACATTTTATTTTTTTAGTTTTTTTTTCCTCTCTAGTCCTAGGGTAGACCATGAATGGAAACTTCTGAAAGTTTCGTATTTTTCTTTGGTTTCAATATGAATTATTTTATGCACTCCGTGGCTTTATGTTCCTTACTTATTACTAGAGATCTTGCTTGTGCTACATCCATTCTTTTGTTAATATTGCGTAGTCTATGAAATTGTGTCCAAAAGACTCATGTACCATTTTCATGTTGTTAGATATGTTGGTCAAGGTGGAGAAAGTTATCAGCGAATTGGGGGGTGATATGTCCCTATAATGTCCAGGGCATTGAAAATGCATAACGAGCAGCTTAGCATCAATTGGCTTACTGAATACTGAACCATGGGAACCACCACATATTGCCCAAAAAATGTACAGCGGATTTGTTTCTCTCCTTCCATTCTTTCTTCACTATGTACAGTGCAGCTGAGATACTCATTCTAGTCTAAAGTTTGTCTTGGATTCTTTTATTGTTCAGCAAATAGCAATGTCAGAGAAAAGGCAATGTATGATAGATCAAAGTTTAGCTAGTGAAAACATATCAAGTGGTTTCTGTTTAAGAAATCCAAGTCAAAACAGTGATCTCAGAATAATTTTAATCTAATATAGTACAAGAATCTAAATATTGAGTTTTTCTCCACTTTGTCACCAGATGGTATGGAGTCTAGCAAAATCGAGGCATTACAGTATTACACCCCCGTTTTCATTTACGGGGTAATCTAAATTATTCTCATTTTATTGACACTCAACTGTGTTTGGTTGCATGTTCCGTGTCACCTCCCATTGCCTGAGTCAAGTCAAATAAGAGGAATTGATCAAAAGCTACAATTGTAGCTTCTATTGAAACCCGTCCCATTGCCTAAAACGCAAAACCAAGCATGCATGCACCAAGTGGTTGAGTTGGAATATTTAACAAAAGGATTACCTGAACATCAGCTACTACAGATTTTGCTTAGGAAAAAGCAGAAAACTAAAGGAGGATGTCTACTTATGTGGAAAATGAAAATCAAGGAAACAGAATCATAGATGAATGAAGGCACACATTGCACCTGGACTAAACAATCTATACTATATCCATGGCCTCACTCTGTTCTGCATTTGTGCAATTTTGCTAAGCTGATAACTTCTGGTTCAAACTGCCAATTCATATGGTATGTTATTGGGGTTCAAAAACATTTTTTATTTTCTTGTTAACAATTTACAAAAGAAGGTACTGACCTATGAAATCGGTAATTCCAAATATAAAGGGCCTTAAAAAGGAGGTCGGGGATACCTGGCTAACTACTAACTATATTTCGAGGCGAGGATTCTTTTCTTGAAATGCCCCTCAAAGTTCACCTCTCAAACATCCTTTTATGACACTATAAACATTTTTGTAATAAATGGTTTTAAATTTCGATGATCACAATTTCACAATAAATGTATTTGTTAGAAAATTTCTTAGAACTAGGAATTGTAATAATTCGAAGAACAAGAATGAATAGGGATACTTATACGAGAAAGGAATACGAAGAGAGTATTATTATTGACCGAGAAGATACAGAAAGATTACAATACAAGAATATGTGAAATCTATCTATCCTGCAGCTATTTAAACTCTAACTTCCTCTCCTGAACAGTTTTAACAACTAATTGACTTGCTGACTCATCAAGGATGCAAGACACAAATATTATTCTAAAAATTTCGTCATAACAGTATTCGCTTTCTTTGGTAGGGAGTTAAAATGACGAAAAATAAATTGGAGAACGAAAGAAAACAAAGGCGTAAAACATTTTAAGAACTAAAAAGGATTACATCGACGAAGTACGCATCTTGATTTTCATAACTTAATCTCATTTTTAATATTTCAATCAAACTTACTTTAGCTCTTTCATGAGGTGATTTGTTCAATGTAATATAGCTCTTAATACTAGTTAATAGTGTCATTTTAACCTTCATCAGCAATAGGAAAAATCAGATGGGCAAATGACCCCCACCAACCAAACAAGTGTGTTTGTTTTCAAGTTTGAAGTGCTCAAACATGCATTTAATCCAATCTAACAAGAAACAAGCTTTTCAGGTGCCTTGAAAGTTATGTTAACTACAAACCATACACACTAAAATGTCGACAAAGCATGCGCAAATACACCCAACAGAACTAAACAGCTAATAAGTTGGAGTAAGGTATTTTAGCGTTGAAAGTATCTTATGTTGCATGGTGTTATGACAATATGTAAAAGAAAGAGAAGAGAACGAAGACGACACACAAATTACATGGTTCAGTCAGTGTGACCTACGTCCACGGGCAGTTCAAGAGTTTCTTATTTCTGAATGAATAGAGATATCTGATATAGATGCCTTTCAGCCTCATTACAACCCAAATAAAGATAGAAATAGTAACGGACAAAATTATAAATTCAAGGCATCTCTAAGGCATCTCAACAATTCTCCACCTTGAATTGAATTTTTCCAAGTCACCAGTAACCAAGAACAATTCTCCTGCTTATTTTCCCCGAAGGGTCTCAAGCGATGCGAACATTCACCAAGTCCAAGCTATGCTTAAACTTTTCAAAAGACAAAGGTTTAGTCAACATATTTGCTGGATTGTCTACCGTGGCTATCTTCTTTATGGAGAACAATTTTTCTTCAATTACATCTCGTATGAAATTCAATCTGACATCAATATACTTTGATCTTTCATGATAGACTGGATTTTTTGCCAAACACAAAGCACTTTGACTATCACAATAAAGTATACGTCTCTACACATTCAAATCCAGACTATCAATAAGACCTTGCAACCATATACCTTCTTTAACCCCTTCTGTCAAGGACATGTATTCCGCTTCAGTGATAGACAAAGCAATAGTAGGTTGAAGTGTTGCTTTCCAACTTACAGCACAACCATAAAGAATGAAGATATAACATGTCAAAGATCTTCTCCTCACGAGATCTCCACCATAGTCAGAATCTACATAGCCAATAAGACCAGACCCAATATCATTAGAACCATAAATTAAGCAGATATTACTAGTACCTTTCAAATATCGCATAATCCACTTCACAGCCTCCTAGTGAGCCTTTCCAGGATTACTCATAAATGTACTAACCACACTCACAGCATAAGCCAAATCTGGTCTTGTACAAACCATGACATACATTAAGCTCCCAACAGCACTAGAATAAGGAACCGTATTCATATACTCCTTCTCTTCATTAGTACTAGGAAGAGTGCTAGCATCAAGTTTAAAATGTGTTGCCAAGGGAGTACTAACAGGCTTAGAATTCTCCATTTGAAAAGACTGCAACAACTTTTCAATGTATTTCTTCTGAGATACATAAAGTAGACCTGCATTCCTGTCTCTCCAAATCTCCATTCCTAAAATCTTTTTGGCAGTACCCAAATCCTTCATCTCAAACTCACTGCTCAACATAGCTTTAAGAGCATCAATATCAGTCTTGCTCTTAGCTGCAATTAGCATGTCATCCACATACAACAACAAATATATATAGGAACCATCTGATAGCTTCCTACTATAAACACAGTTATCAAACTCATTTCGGACAAAATTATAGGAAATCATAAAAGCATCAAACCTCTTGTACCACTGCCTCGGGCTCTGTTTTAAACCATACAAGGATTTTTTCAGCAAACACACATGGTTCTTTTTTCCAACCTCAAGGAATCCATCTGGTTGTGACATGTAAACCTGTTCTTCTAAATTTCCATGCAAGAATGCAATTTTCACGTTAAGTTGCTCTAACTTCATATCCAAAGCACTCACCATAGCCAACAGAACTCGAATAGTTTTATGTTTTACCACAGGCGAGAACACTTCATGGTAGTCAATTCCTTCTTTCTGTGAAAAACCTTTTGCCACAAGTCTTGCCTTGAACCTGGATGGTTCAACACCAGGAATCCCTTCTTTCCTTTTTAACACCCATTTGCATCCCACTGGCTTCACACCTCTAGGTAATGGTACTAACTCCCAGGTTTGATTTTTCTTAAGTGACTGCATCTCCTCATCCATGGCAATTAGCCATTTCGATGCTTCTTTACTTTGAATCGCCTCCTTATAGGATTTAGGCTCATCAGAATCAAGATTTTCACCTACTAGCAAGGCATATGCAACAGAGTTAGTATCAACAACATTAGTAACATCTGCATACCTCGTAGGTTTTCTGATTTCCCTCCTTGTTCTCCTTGTTGCTATGCTTTGAGGCTCTTCTTGAACATTACTAGATTGTTCCACAGGATTCAAATTTTCTTTATTTGAATCTTCAACCTCAAACTCCACCTTCTGATGAACTCCCTTATTTGTACTTTTATTTCCTGCAAGATTTTCAACCTCCTCTTTCTGGCCAAACATAGCAGACTCATTAAAAGTAACATCTCTGCTAATAACAATTTTTTTTGTTCTGTTATTTTCAGTACACCATAATCTATATCCTTTGACACCCGTAGGATACCCAAGAAATATACATTTCATTGCCCTAGGCTCTAATTTACCATCATTAACATGAGCATAAGCAGGACAACCAAATATACGTAAGCCAGAATAATCAGAAGGTTTACCAGACCATACCTCCTGAGGAGTCTTTAAGTCAATTGCAGTAGATGGAGACATGTTCACCAAATAGGCAGCAGCATTAACTGCTTCAGCCTATAATTCTTTTGAGAGACCAGCATTTAAACGCATGCACCGAGCATGCTGAAGTAGTGTTTGATTCATTCGTTCAGCAACGCCATTCTGTTGTGGTGTATGTCTCACTCTGAGGTGCCTGACTATACTTGCTTCTTTACAGTAATCACCAAATAATGCATTGCAGAACTCCAGTCCATTATCTATTCTTAGAGTCTTGACTAATTTCCCGGTTTGTTTCTCAACCATAGTCTTCCACTCCTTGAAACGCCCAAACACTTCATCCTTGGACTTCAAAAAATACACCCAAACTTTTCTAGAGTAGTCATCAATAAACGTCACAAAATACCTGCTCCTTCCATGGGACTGAACTGGGGAAGGACCCCATAAATCAGAATGAACATATTGCAATATTTCGGTTGAAGTGTGCTTACCGTGACTGAATTTCAGCCTGCGTTGTTTACCACAACACAAGATTCACATAACTTCAATTTTCTTGTCACCGCTCCACCCAACAGTCCTTGTTTACTCAACACTGCAAGTCCACGCTCACTCATATGTCCCAACCTACAATGCCATAATTTTGTATTATCAACATGTTGCTCTAAGGAATGGGATATAGACACCGTTCCCTCAAAGGAATTGTCAAGCATAACATAAATTTCATGTTGTAACTTTCCTTTCATAACAACCAGAGTACCTTTAGAAACTGTAATCTGTCCATCATTTCCTGAAAAACTGTACCCTTGTTTATCTAAGGTACCAATAGAAATCAGGTTCTTCCGTAAGCTAGGAACATACCAAGCATCAAACGTTCTGACCATGCCATCATACATTTTTATCTGTACAGCGCCACTACCTTTTACTCTAAGCTCTTCATCATCACCTAACTTTACACTTCCATTCCATTCTTTAAATGAATTGAACAGCGTCCTGTTAAAAGTCATGTGATAAGAAGCTCTGGTATCCATGACCCATGTATCAACAAAACCAGTAGTACTGACAGTCAAAACATCTCCGCCATCTCCTTCATCT